CAGCCTGCTACGTTCTACAGTGGCAGCGATCCTCGTGTCGCCAGCGTAACGGGCAGTTGTTACGCGGAAGCCACTTAATTTCTGGCAGTAAATGGTAAGTGACGTCAATACTGGTTAGCCTAGCAAACAAAGGGCCGCAGCAGGAACCTGAAAAATGTCATCATAAGTAATATTGCGCACAACTTGCTCCGTTGAGTTTTGCCTGGTTGGAGTTGATGCGTGGAAATTTTTGCATTGGAAGCAATGTCATTCATACATTTTTTGCGTTAGAAGTTCGCTGCGTAAAACTTCTGCACGCGAAGTTCTTACATTAAAAGGGGTGCCGCGTAGAAGTCGTGCCGCGAAAGGTCTGGCGTCAGCAGTGTTTCTATTGGAAGCATCGCCGGAGTACCCCTGATCCCGAATCCCGCCATCCAACGGTGAGAATTGTCAGACACCGTGCGGGCTGGAATTAGTTACATGCTTACCAACCCACACACAGACGGCTACATAAGATGTAGTAAATTACTAAAAGCTAGCGAACAGGACTTAACACGCGCTCGAGTGCGGGCCAGTTTCACCCCCCCCCCCCCCCGAAGGTTTTTCCGGAATGGTTTCCGAACGGCGTGGCGTATCTGCGCCATTTTTTAAAATAACTGTAGACATTTGAATAGCAAATCCTTTCGTGTCAAAATTAAGATGCAATATATAAGGTCGCTGACCTACGACAGGTCAAAGTCAGGCCATGGATTCAGAGAAGTCAATTTCCAGAGAATCGTTCAGTTTGATGCAACAACGAAGTGTTAGACGAAGCCATACATCTCCGTTATACTTTCCTAGGCAGCACAATAATTGAATGAACAAATTCCTTCGCCCTAGGGCCAGGTATGAAGTTCAGAACAAGGCCAAAACAAACCTGTTTCATTTCTCTAGGGCTTGCTGTATGAGGTGGTTTTTGGTACCCATTTTGAATTTATTGATAAGAGGAACCTCAATGTACGTCTTCTATGAGCTTCGTTAAGGTTAGAAATGGTCACTGACCTAAAATGACCCAGATCAACATTTTATCCTGCCAAGCGTAAATTTTGTCGCTTATTCAAATGCAAAACTCACAGCAGCCTTGCATGATTTTGGCCACCGTGACCTTCCAAAGGCCAAGCAGGGTCGATGACTTCACACGAGCGTGCGACGTTTTGCTTACAACAGGTTAAGCAAGTACAACTATGTTCTTGGAATACTCTCGACGCCAACCTGAAATTTGACCTTATTTGGCCTTATTTGACCCAAAGATCTTGGATCTTTGGCCTAGGACCGTCAAACTTTGACAAAAGAGAGTTCACATGCACGCCAATACGCTCTGTGAATTTGGTGTTTCTATAGCTCTCTTAGTTTCTGAGGTCTCAAGGGATCAAGTTGACCCCCACCCGGGCGAGGGTGTCCAACCGGCCACCCGGGCGTGTGTTAAACTGGCCTAGTCCCTATATGTTTACTGACGCCTTCAATATACACCCAGGGCGCGTGTTAAAATAACCGCGACCCCGTAACGTCCCACTTTCTGAAAACAACATTCATCCGTTTTGTATCTACGACCAAGGCTTATTCACAAAGCCTTCAGCTTTGTGAACAGGTCTTTTAAAGGTTTTAAAGGTTTTAAAAAAGTTAAATCTTTTGAAAAGCCCAATACTGAACCCCCGCAGCGACTAGGGATTGAGCAAGATCCCATATCGTTTCGATAAGGAATCGAGCAAGAACACCGAAGGCTGAGGATGCAGCTTCTAAAAACTGAACGGCGTTGGCCGCTGCAGATGACACCAAGCGGAAGCTGTTGATGCTAATCCGCTCCTATCATCAGCCTAGCAACCGCACAGGTAAAAATAGGTCCGGATTACCTTTAGAACGTACGCATTGATTTCGCAAAGCGTCCAAAGGCATTTCTTTCAGTCGCATCATGATTTTTGTCAGTCCGTTGGCTAGCACCTAGTATTAGCTGCGGAGCCGATACCGCGCAGCCTATGATGACCGCAATACCGGGCGGGGTTTCGTGTAGTAAGACTTCCACCTATGATGACTGCAACACCGGACGGGGTTTCGTATAATAAGACTTCCACCTACAATGATTGCAACACCAGGCAGGGTTTCGTATGGTAAGACTTCCATCTAAAATGACTGCAACACCGGGCGGGGTTTCGTATAGTAAGACTTCCACCTATGAGGACTGCAACACCGGGCGGGGTTTCGTGTAGTAAGACTTCCACCCATAGTGACTGCAACACCGGGCGGGGTTTGTTTCGTGTAGTAAGCTTTCCACCTATGATGACTGCAACACCGGGCAGGGTTTCGTGTAGTAGGACTTCCACCTATAATAACTGTAACACTGGGCGGGGTTTCGTGTAGTAAGACTTTCAAGCGCGAGTTCAACACTATGTTACATAAGTTTTACCACAAATCGATTCTGACTGAATGTTCAAAATTTTCACATATACATGGGTTGGCTATGCTCATGCAAATCTTTAACCCATTGCAATCCACAATTTACGTTCACGGGATCCTTAATATTTCTGTAGAACTCAGAAAACTTTGGCAAAGCCTTCGGTTTGGAAAGCCCACTGAATTGCTGTAAACTGAACAGCGTCGGTGGCTTATTACGTGTAGGTATTGAACGCCCGGAAACTTGAGTTTACAGTCTTCAAAATGCCAACAGACTTGCCTCTATCAGTAGTTTCGGACTTCAGTTTCGAACTCAAGTGGGCCATATTCGGTGACTCGTTTTATGGGTCTCACCATCAGGTGCCCTTTGTCAACCCTGTATGTCCCCCCCCCCCCCCCTCCTTATCAAGAATCTGTTTGCGTCTCTCACTGTGACGGTGGCTCATGCCTCCATATATCACCATTTATCAATGGCTTTCAAATGATGTCGAACAAATTCACCGATGGCGCGTACATTGGACTAATAAGACCACGCAGCAGACCAGCCGGTCTACAGAGGCCAATAGAACAGCTTAATCTTGGCGCGCTTATCTCTTCCGAAAAAGAACGACAGCGAGCGCACATAAACAGATGTTAAGTTGCTACGGCCAGCCGACATCAGCTGCAATGTGTTCGGCTTCAGCTTTAAAGTGTGTTAAATGCATAGCTGTGTAGCCTGAGCAAACTTTTTTACCAGCCCCCTGCATACGAATTTTTAGATAAAGAACGCACAGCAATTTGGCATGGTAAGCGCGTATCGGTCACGATGTGGCCAAGTGTTGCGCCATATTGGTAGTGCTTGTCAAAGAGCGCCAGCTGCTCCCTCCCCTCTGCTGCCACGGATCAATTTCCCGTCGATATCGCAGGTATGATGCTGCATCCAGGTGTACCTGCGGCAATGCAAACGCACGTCAAGCGGCGTGGCTACGGTGTTATTAACTGGTTATCTCGGGGAATGTCCGAGAGGCCCAAATATCATCACTTCTCGGATGTCATTGACGCGCTGGTGGTTGTCGGACGATGGCTATTGGCTCTATTTTGGTCGCCGTCTTTTACGTAAGACTTATATGACTAAGCAGCCAGAAAATCTTACCTGCCAAACGTCTACATGATCGCAGCCGTATAATCCGAGGAGTTCGAGGGCCTCAAGTATTAACCCGCTCACGTCAAAACAAGCATGGCATAACCGCACATGATCACCGGACAAGAACGCTTGAGTGCACGTTTTAGAGAATGGCGCAGAAGGTGGGCGGTCGCCTATGTTTAACTAACACGCGACATCCTTTAACCGGTAATTTTGCAGACCCTCCGTTCGACAGCTGTACCCATCACCTGCCATAGACGCAGGACAGTTACAAGCCACAGCTGTGATCTAAAATAACTTCCATCAAATCAATGTCATGAGTAAGACACATCATGAGAAGAGCAATAATTTAAAGCAACGGAAGGGAATGAGTAACCTCTCTTTCCTGAATGTGTAAATCCAGCCAGAAGTAGTTTTTCAGCGATGGTTTCCACGCTTTGCCACGGACACAAGCCGCAGCAGTCATGGGCCTGCTCACAGCTGTTGCCGTAGTTGGAACTTCTTCAAAGGAGTTGTGAGCCACATGTGGCCTTTGTTCGGCCAGTTCTTTTTACACACCGTCCACAGACCCAATGCAAATAAGCAGAGGCATGCGGTGAGACTCAAACGCTTCCAACCATACGGAGAGCTGTGCCCGACAGCCGGCGTCATTGAGCAGAGCAGATCCTCAAACGCCTCCAACCATACGGAGAGCCGCGCCCGACAGCCGGCGTCACTGAGCAGAGCAGATCCGTATCAGCAACACCAACGGCGTCCGGGGCACATCTTGCCCCAGGGCGCAGTCCAGACCGGGGTCATATCCAGCCCAGTTGCAGCGCCAGGCGACACCAGCTACACGTAAGTGGCAGCGTGGGGGAGGGGATGGGAGAGGGCGGGCACGCCGTCGGCCATAGCGGCCCTGTGTATAGTCGTACACGATGTCGTAGGGAGGGACTACTGTCAGAGCACGCGGCAGAGGCGGCCATTCACCTCAAATTGCCCTCAGCCCTCTATTGCGCGGTAACGGCATGGAGAACACTCAGCGCTGGGATATTTCCAGGCACAGCAACGGAAAACGACGGGCAATTTCCTTCACCGACCATGTCTGTGACTTTATCCAAGCTCGGAATATGCTCGGGGATTTTTCCCGGGAGCAGAAGCCCACTTCTGCCCTGACGACCCGGCTCAGCCTGGTGATCCGCGCAATCCCCGCCACGCCACGACTTTTGCCCGCCGCGCCAGAGAGCGCAACAGTCTATTTCCACGCTGCATTAGCCACGTCCAATGGCCGCCTTCTGCGCCTGCACGGAGGCCTCCGGTTGGTATTTGAGGTGGTGCGAGTGGATGGGCTTCTGTTGCTACTTCAGGCGGGGCAGCAGTGCCGGCTTCCACCCAGTCGTCGAGCGCGCATCCCACCTCATCCAGCCTGATGTGCTTGTGTATCTAATCATTTCGAGATCGGTTGATCGGGCGCATTCTCTCAACAGACGGCTGCTAAACTCAGCTGTATTCAATGTACGCTGTCCACGCACCGAAACATTTGTTTATTAGATTTGTTGATTTGTACCGAAAAACAGTACATCGAATGTCTAATCCTACAAATGCGCTGCGACACAACCCGAAGCTACAATGCCGGCCATGCTATATAGGTACTCATATGAGGATCGTGCCGTTGGTCGGTGGGATACTGGATTTGTAGGCTGAGCCATGCAACAGCCCGCAATCATGCCCTGGTGTGGCAGATGCCACGGAAGCCCAGCACAGGGCGCGCAAAACGATATAAAAACATGGCAAAGCGATCACAAAGCTCAACACGCCTGGTCCCTCGGAACAGCCCAGTTTGTGCGACGTCTGCGCGCCGGCGTAGGGGCCCGCGCCTCGCCTCTGTCCGACGGCCGGATCTGACTTAGGTTCAACAGACTAGACGTGCGCCAGCCGCGGGCCGGGGCGCCCGGCGCACCGGCCGCGCGCCCCGCGCCCGCCCCCGCGCACCGACTCACACGCGCACGTGCGCAAGCCACTGGCCACGGTCACATATGGCAGCTCGAGTATGAAAGGTTGCTCGGCGCAGAGCGCGGGCTCACACTGTGAGAGGACATTCTGTCCCGGTATCGGTCGCCCTCAAGCCGTCCGGTACTCACCCTAGCTACATACAACTCAATAGACATGGACACCGGCTGAATACACACCAGACGGAATGAATGCAATAATCTCACATCGGCTGACGCACAGGCCGCAAGGTCAGATAAAAGCCCGCTATATCTAGCACATGCTATGACGAATAATCAGAATCAGTGTGCTGCATGGGCGCTAATACAAAGGCGCGGCAGAAGCTCGTCAAAGTAACACAGAGGCACCGCGTGCCGTGCCGGGGCAGGCAGACGCCGGCCGCCACTGCTGTCTTTTGTCACACCTCGTCCGATGGCGGGTCGCCAAAGGCCTCCGGCCGGAGAGGCGCGGCGCCCTCAGCGCTGCCCGGGCGCCCGACGACGCAGCGTCCCTGCTGGAAAGCCTTGGAAGCGGCGGGGAGGGGGTCTCTTCAGAGTAGCGAGTCCACCGAGGCCGAGCGTTTGGGCGGCGGCGGCGGCGGCCTGGGCGGCGGCGAGGCCGGCGGCGAGTCGGCGGCCGTCGCCGTCACCACCTGCGGGCAGGTGTCGTGTCGTTACTGCCGGCGGCGTCACCGTCACCGTCACCGTCGGCGGCGCGGCGCTGGCCGGCACCAGACTGGTGCCCCAACTCACCCCAGAGCGGCTTACGTGACGGTATCACGGTGGCTCACCGCGGGCTCAGCGCGACGACGAAGCGGACTTCAGCAACAGGGAAACCCGTAACGGTTTCGCCTGGGGGTTCAGAATCAAATGACGAAGTGCTGCATCGTTGATATATATGTCAAGCCAGCGCTTCGGCTGTTGAAACTGCTAGCATACATCGCGTGAAGTGCTGCGTCGTTGAGATATACGTCAAGCCAGCGATTCGGCTGTTGAAGCTGCTAGCATACATCGCGCACGTAGGCAAGTCGAAAAACGCCCCCCCCCCCCCCACACTTGAAAATGTACCTCTCCCCACCCTGTATCCAAGCTGATATCAACAGCAATATTCATCAGCATATAAAAATCGGCAGAAATGGCGACATGCAGCCCCCTGTTCCGCTCCTTTAAGGACGAACATCGCTTTATTTGACCTGTGGCATACGCTTTCCTCTTCATTATGCCACCTATGAGGTTCATATTTAACCTCGCACATGCCGCGCTACAAAGGCATGCTCGAATTGAAGTGTGCTGGCGACGTCCCGTACAGATTACTGCTCGTGTGCGGCGCTCGCGAATCTTAATGAGCACTGGGACGAGAAATGAGAAAATGGTTTTGAGAAGAAACGAAACAGGATGTATTTAAGGCAATTCTAAGAACTTAAGAGCCATATGAGCTTAAAGTACAATAAAACGCGGGACAAACTATTACAACGATCGAGGATAAATTGTTCAGTCCGTTTGCAAAAATCGTTTACGTTCATCGTTCAATCGTTCAAACTCACAGATCGCGTTTCAAAGCAGTCGACGTGTCCTTGTTCTTCTATATTTGCCAATTAGATGCGTGGTTATCGCTATTCAAAATGTTGGTCTAGTTCGAATCAATTTAAGCTACATTTCGCAGCAAATAACTACATTTGCCCATTGAGTTGGCGGTTCTTATTCCCACGATAATTGACCTCACATAAATCAGAAGGTACCAGCTAAACGCTATTATCAAGCATGCATTCGCTTTTTTGAAGCCCGGCTTGTGTGAATTTTGTCAATACAGCCAATGCTTGCTTGAAAACGTCGTTTATCCCATATCCGCTGGTATTTTAAAGGTAGCCTTTTGCCATACTAAAAACTTCCAACTCATGTAGCCAAAAAACCACGGGTTCAAGGCCCGTTTTACTTACTTCAAGTATCTTTGTCCAGCTTAGCCCCAAACCGCTCACTGGTAAACACTATGATAGAAGCAGTTAGCGTTGATCGTAGAAAGTAGTCCACAGTCCTCTTTATGGCCCTCGATCCGTCACAATAATTCCGGCTGGTGCTTAACGCGCTGGAAACTAACGCGTTTATGAAAGCGCGCGGCGAAAGCCGTAATTCTTCAGCGCTGCGAATTCAGGCGTCTGTTGAACCACGGGACGCGCGTCCGCCGTACGCTCTTTTTGTTGAGAAGAGCGCATTCTCGTTAGTGGCGCGCAGCAAAGAAGCGCAGTATCGTTAGCACCTGAGCACCGGGCCGGACCGCAGGTGGTGCAGCCGGCTCGTACAGCCGATGACACACGCACACCGGTCGACGCCGCCGAGCGCGTCACCACCGCCCACTGACGGCGAGCTGATGACCCAGACCCGCCGGCCGCCGACGACGGGCTGATGACCCAGACCTGCCGCCCGCCGACGGTCGTCCGCAGCAGCGACAGCGCCGCAGGGGTGCCAACTACCTACCGCGCAGCCCTCTCCAGCCACGACCTCCAGCGCCTCACCACGGCCTGTACCCGCCGGTGCAGACCTGCCGCCCGCGCCCGTCTGTCTGCACGTACCACTATGGTGGCTTATCGCGGTTGAGGAGAACACGGAGCGTGCTTGATCGGATGTTGCAATGTACCGGTTCCCTGCATTTAGGACGATCCACACGCAATAAAGCAGCGCTGGGGATCTTCGACACAAACATGAGCTGAATCTGTCCGGCCTGGCCAGAGGTCGATTCGAAAAAGGAGTCGTGGCCACACACAAATTCGTGTGATGTGTGCATTAATCAGGACCAACACATGGTTGCTTCCATGAATCGTCCATTGGCTTCACCATCATCTCAAAACGTCATGAGTAGCGACCATCAAGAGTTACCATGCACTGTGTTAAACGCCATAAAAGCGGCGTTTGGTCTGTAGATCTACTTTTCATATGAAGTATCGATCACACAGCATGAGGTCCATGCCAGATACACTCATCTTCTTCAGAAAATCTGGCGCTCGCAAAATATGTCATGCGACCATGTCAGATGCACCGAAGACGTGCCAAGTGTGTGTCAAGACAATAAAAATTGAATTACGTGGACATGTTCATAACTATGATACCCAAACATTTACATACATCAAATTAAGTTATACCATTAAGTTGCCAACATTAAATGCCATGTCAAAAATTGCAATGCATAACACCAGACGTTTTGAAATGGACATCATACGCGTATGAGTCGCAAAGAGCGTCTTCGTCAACGGCGCATGCTGACGTCGACCCAATCTTAAGCCTTTGACACAACGCTGTCCCATTCCAACAATCAGCTTCAGCTTAGCACAAAGTAGCGATCTTAAGAGATCAACTCCCGAGTACCGCGGACACGAAGCCGTCAGAAGCCAAGCTTTAATTTCGGGTACGTGTCTTCCGTATCTGGCGTTGCGTGATTCGTTACTGCAACGATGCCGCAACGCAGATCCGCCTGGTGCTCGAAACATTTGATCTTTTAGGGCCTCGTATACTGCAACAGCCCACCCATGTGTACCCAGTGTTCTCCATCTAGAACAGAAAGCGTCGCGCGTAGGCACTCCAGCCGAAGGGGGGCCTCCGGAAGAGCCCGACAGATGAACAGAAAACGTCGCGAGTAGGCACTGCTGCCGAGGGGGGGGGGGGGGGGAGGCCTCCGGAAGAATCCGATAGATAAACAGAAATAGCACTCCAGCCGGAGGGCTCCGGAAGAACCCGACAGATAAACAGAAAGCGTCGCGAATAGGCACTCCAGCCGGGGGGCTCCGGAAGAACCCGACAGATAAACATGCGTTCAGCCTGCTGTTCAGCGGTGCTCCTCACATCGTGCATATATGATCAAAGACGGGCGGGCTCGGAATTATCGGCCGCCCGGCGAGCCGGCAGAGCGGCTCGTCCTCCGCTGCGCCCCGGAAATTTAGCAGCTCCATCTGTAAACAGGGTGCTGGGGCCCACCAGTGACAGCTCGAGGCCGCCTGCGTGGCGCCATTGCTCGCTGATGGCCCGGGCCGACACTACCGACCCGCGGCCGGTCCGAGTCCCTGTCGGCGGCGGTCACGCCGTCATGGCCTGGTGCAGGACCGGCGGGGTGCGCCGCTGCCAGCCGCGCCCAGCTGAGCGGCCGGCGGCGCCCGCTCGGCCGCGTGCCGGCGTCGGCGGCCGGCCGGGCGGCGATCAATGAGACGCCACCTCCGGCCGGCCGGCGCGTCCCGGGCCGGCGCGCTTTACGAGCTCGTCCCAGCGCGCCGCCGTCCGCTCCGTTCGCGCCACCGCCGCCGCCGGCCACCGGCTGACCAACCGCTCTGAAGTGTCGGTCTGCCGGCGGGCCTCGCGGTGACGGAGAGGCCGTGCAGCCGGCTCCGCCGCCGCGCGCGCGACGCCGGAGCTGGCACGCTGCTGGCCGGCGGGCCGGAGCGCCGTCCCGCGGCCGGCCGCACGCCGGCGTCGAGGACGAGGCGGACGGGGACCGCGATCGGGGCTCATTTCCAGGGCAAAGGCCCGCCTGGGACTTAGTGTCGCAGATGAATTGCTCGGGCTGTCGCGCTTATGAAGGGAATTGCGCATGGTCGTGGTACGCAGACGACCTGAGGCACCAGTTTTTTATCACAGTGAGCGCGTCGCACGTCGTCACGCCCCTTTTACGGAGCGCTCGCGACCGCATCGGCCATATTAGCGCCCAGGGGCCATGGTGCAACCGGGATTTGAGCCCGGGCCGCCACGTGGGGGTCCAATGAGCTAACCACCCCGCTTTTGCCCCCTGAGGCACTCGCGACTGGTTCTGGCTATTGTAAGTCGTTGTCTTCGACGTCGAATGATGAGAGGAGACGACAGCACAAAGGTTCAGAATTCTGCACAATCTTGTTAGGTAGAGAGGGAATGAAAAGGAAAAATAAAATATTCACCACCACTGATGGAGCTTGACTCATTTGATCTCTGACTGAAGTCAATCCAAAGTCAGTAGGCATCTGCTCATTCGAGCTCTAATAGGAGTGGTGAGACGACTCTTCGTTGCCTGATCTCATTGCTGCCCCCTCACCCCTCCGCCCTCTCTCTACCTAGACCCGTAACGGCGAATGCTGGCAATTTGTCCCCATATTCTTTCGCCTCATCGGTTGGCCCGCGTGAGCACAACGATAGACTTCTCGCCCACCACTAGGGTGCAACGCTTCCTCCACATTCCCTTCGATGCAATTGGCAACGACTTGACATCTTTTCTTCGCGTCGATGTTGTTTTTACGTACCTAAGATCTGGCTTGGTTCCACGGAGACCATGTGCAGCATGGACAAAACACGACAGTTGTACACGCACCCTACACGCGGAGTGGCCCCGGACCCAGCGAGTCGGACCGCCACCCCACACACGGACGGGAGCATGCGCACACACACGGCCAGCTCTGAGCGCGCGCGCGGCGCCAGCGCCAGGTCGGCCGGGGCTCGCCGACACCGACAGCGACATGAGCTGACCTCGCTCGGTGCAGGCGTGGCGCGCCAGCCGTTCTCCGCCGGCTCCTCAAACGACGACATCTGCCGGCCTTGCTTGGCCGGCAGCGGCGGCGGCGGCGGCTCGTCCTCGTCCACGGTCACACCTGCGGCGCACGAAGCCGTCACAGTCTGCAGCAGCGTGGCCCCGCTGGGCGCCGCGGGCGCGTGCGGACCACATTGCCGGCGCGCAGGCCGACTCGCAGCAGTCCGCGCGTGAGACGCAGCTCCCGTGCCGCGTGTGCCAGGGCGCGGGGCTGAGCAGCAGAGCGCCGGGGTCGGGGGCTCAGGCCAGGGCCGGGCCTGTTCTCGGCGTGTCCTGCCGCCGCTGCGCCGTGCCGGTCTCCGGGGGCGAGGCGGCGGCGCCGTCTCCAGCCGCCAATACCTGCGCGTGCCCGGTGGCGCGGCGATTGGCCGGCCGATTTCAATATGGCCCAACTGAAGAGAGCCGACGCCGCCATCAAAACAG